TGGTGGTGACTCTTTAATTTATTAAATCTAGCTATAAATTTATGGATCTATATGTTATGATAGTTTGACGACTTCACTGGGGATAGCCATAAAGAGTCAAGCCATAATTTTTTAATATTTATCGCTATCGCTTGTTGGTCCTAATGGGTTTTAAATTGTAATTATTTGTTTTACTAACATTTTTTCTTTTTGTCTTGTATTTTATTTTTAGGGCAATGGAACCTATTTGTCCTTTACACACACTTATCCACCATTGATTTGCATTATATGAGCTTATGTACCTGGTTTTATCCCTTCTTAGGAGGAGTAAAGTATCTATTGCTCTCGTTGAGTGATAATCTTCCGTAATGGCTAGTTGAAATTACTCCTATTCAAATTGAATCATTTTCGTTTGGTAATTTGATGGGTGAGGATTGAAATGCTTTATTAGTCTATGATGAACGATGATGTAAGGAATAATTTAAGAACCTTTAGTGATCAAAATCATCTAACCCTGCATATAGTTCACCCCTAAGAGGCCAACCTTAAGATAGAGCCATTCATACCCAATTGATATATATAACCAAAAATTAGGACACAAGAAGGAATAACTTGTATATTGCTTATCTAACCATTTTGTTTTGTATGCATTTGCATCATTTTCATATCATTTCATTCTATGCATCATTTCTATATCATTTCATTCTATGCATTATTATATCATCCTATGCATCATTTTCAAGCTTATGCTTTAACATTATCATTTGCATCATTTTCATATAGGGAATGTTTGCCACATCTCATACCAACATCTATGGAAGTGTATGTTACATGCATTACACATAAAGCATATAATTTCTGATCACACATAAGGCATATCATTTCTGATCATAATTGTGGTACTCAAGATTTAAAGATAGCTTTACCAAGCAAGAACCTTACTCACTAATGCAATACAAAGGCTTGAGTCAGACAAATAAAACAAAAAAATTTTAATCATCTCGAAAGGATTGAGAAAGCTTGAGAGAAGCTAAAAAAGAAATTAAATAAGATTTTGAAGGCTTTGAACAAATTAAACAAAAGAAATGGTATAAAAGAAAGCCAATAAGACTATCACTCATAAGAGGTGGATGACCCATTGTATCTATTTAGTTTTGAGCCACATTAAGCCCAACTCACACATGATCCACCATCACAGCAGTTCACCTATCCTGTAAGGTATACATATCCTGAAATACCATCAGCTTCAAACCCGAGGTAGTGCTAGAGTTATGTAAATTCTGTCTTTACTGAGAAGGTAATAGAACCAATAGCAATTCCTAATTTGGATGTCCCAAAAAAGAAAGAGAAGCTGAGGCTCAAGGAAAAGGAGACTTTAAAAGCCTCAAAAGCTGAACAGAAGATGAACTTGTTAGAGAAAAAGGCTATGAGCAGTAGAAAGCATTGGTTTTTATGATTCGGTAGATGTTGCTAGGCTCTGTTTAGTCTCAAATATGGTTATTCCTTCAAAATTTAAGGTTTCAAAGTTTAAAAAGTATGATGATACAAAATACCTAAAGATCTATATTATCATGTACTGTCGGAAGATGGCAGCCCATGTTAATAATGAGAAGCTATTGATGCATGTATTCTAAGATAACCTTATGGGCTCTGTTGCTAGATTGTATGTCTAGTTGGATAAGACCCATATTCATTCTTGGAGTGATATGGCCCATGCCTTCATTAATCAGTACTGAAATATTATAAACTTAGCCCCTGATCATTTTTTTTGCAGAATATAAAAAAAAGTGACTGAATCATTCAAGGAATATGCCCAGAGATAGAGGAACATAACTACTCAAGTGTAGCCTCTGTTAACTGAGAAAGAGACTGCGGTATTATTCATCAACATTTTGAAATCTTCATATTATAAAAAGATAATAGAGAATACAACAAAAAATTTTACCAACATGATAATCTCAAGCAAAATCATTGAGAATGTCATTAAAAATGACAAGTTAAAAGAAAGAGAAATCAAGAAGGTGTCAGAGAAAAAAGAGACTGAAGCGCAAGCCATGAACTTGACAGATAGTTCAAGGAATATCAACTCTATCCACCACAAAGTTATGCCCCATATTATCCTGCTGTGAACAATATCTCATCTTACCCTTACCAACCATATCCACAACCAGCTTAACCACAATCTGCCTTTCGAATACCTGTATCATCTTTAAAGCCTAACAACCTAACAAAAAGTTTAAGGAGATCTCGAGATAACCAAGAAAAGACATATATTGACTATATCCTTATGACCTATACTGAGTTATTCCTAGAACTAGTTAAAAATAACTTGGTATCTCCAGTTATTTTAAAACCATTAAAGTCACCCTATCTAAAGTGGTATGATGCTAATGTGATGTGCGATTATCATAATGAGAATGTTGGTCATTCTATTGAAACCTGCCCTGCTTTCAAACATAAAGTGTAAAGTTTGATCCAAAAAGGCTTAGCGAGTTTTGACGAATCAGGTGGACAAGATGTCAATAAAAATCTTTCACCTAATTGCACATGGGTATCATTTTGAAAAGAATATTAAGGCTGGTTGGAAGCTACTTGTCATTTTAGATTTCTTTCATAGTAATGTTAGGAATTCTTTTATGCAATAAGATTTCAGTTGTTATCATTTTAATAAAAGGCAAGGATAATGCATTTCATTACATTTTTTCTTTCATTCAACCGTTGTTCAATGCTTTGTCACCTTTCATAATTTTTCATTCTCATTCTCAAATTTCAAATGATGAATGTTTAGATAATGATAACAATAATTTTGAGATCTAATTTCGAGAACTCATTCACATTAATTTAAAGAGATTACATGAGCAAAAGAAGCAAGCCATTAGTATATGTGAAATAGGCATGTCATGAAAATGTGCAGTCTATTATAAAGATCCATGAGCTTGTTTTTGTTTAATAGATGATTTTCAAGGAAAACATTCACATTTAAGATGAAAAATGACTATCTTTCTTTTACCATTTGAAAAACTATTCATTATTATCCTTTTAAGCATATTATGATTTAAAAAAAAAAAAACTCAATCAAGGATCAACTTCCACACTAGAAGGTAATTTTTGAAAAAAAATGGCAAAAGATCATAAAAGGTTTCAAAAATAGCAAAAAAAAAAAAGGTAAAATGTAAAAAAAAAAGAAAAAAAGAAATGAATGCCATAAATGATTTGGGACAAAGTAATGAGAGTTTTTGTGTAAGGAATGAGATGGAAAAAAGAAAAAGTAGTGAAATGAAGTGGAAAGGGGCAAAATGCCAAGTTGTTTTGAATGATGAGAAATGATCATTTGATTTTGAACCTTTTAAACACATTTTGAGCCTATTTTATACATTTCTTTCATGACTCTTTACAATGGCCTACATTATAATCTTTAAAAGTCCATTTGAATTAAGTGTGAATGCTCGAATTGAATTATCATATATGGACTAAGGCATGCTTGTGATAAAACAATGGAATCTGTTACATGGCTTTAGAGATTGAAGTGTGAAAAATATCACTAATGGATGGGAAAAGACGAAAAAGAAGAAAAAATGAAAAAAATGAAAAAAGTGAAAAAAAAAAAGAAAGAAAAGATGAAGAGGAGATAAAATGAAGACTTAGATTGAAAACTCGAAAGGGTAATTTGGGTAAAAAAATCTCTAAATTGAGAGTTAGACACATGGATGGAAGGTCAAAGACATCTGAAGATCCTTCAAAGCTGGGATAAAATTTGATGAGCTCAAAATGATTTTAACAGTTAATGAAATGAGTTTTTGAAAAGGAATCTTGAATTAATGTTCAAAATTATTTGAATATTCATTGTTTGAATATTGTTACTCCATTTGTTCGATTTGTCTCGATGACATGCATCTGACTTGTTTCTTTCCCATTTGTTTGTACCAAACTCGTTCTTCATTGATTATCTTTCTCCTAATTCACCTTGTGCTTCCTTATTATTGCATCCCTAAAGTGAATTGAGAAAATTTATGATTGCATTGTGTTTGTGAAAAATTAAAATTATGATGAATGAATGATAATGTTCATGAAAGAGTCTTGCATTCCTTTGAAAAGAAATCCAAGATTATAAGAAAAAAAATGAAGAGAGTGCAAAAACTTGAAAATGTGATATGACTAAGTGATGAATATGGGGATGAATTGATTGGCATAACCTGTGAGTTGTGGTCAAATGATGAGAATAATGTGGACCAGTGGGTTAAATTCATTCTAAAATGGTTAATGCTGAAAAACTTATGATTGGTGACCAAGTGACATGAGACAGAATTTATTCTAATATGGCTAGTGCTAAAGGGCCTTGAGTTGTGCTTAAATAATATGGGGCAATGGATGAAATTTATTCTAGAATTGCTAATGTTGAGAAGTCAATGAATTACGATCAGGTGATGAAAGTAATTAGGATTAGTTGATAAAACTTGTTCCAAAGTGTTGAGAAGCTAAACAAGGAGAAAACGTGAGATGGTGGAGACTTAAGGATCATATTACCACATTTTGATTAGAATTTCATGACATTGACATCCACATTACATGCATTACATGCATTACATTTGCATTATGATTTGGAGAATTTTTGAAACTTTGGTCTGGATATGCATTTGCATTATGCAGTAAACAATTGAATCATGGTTAAAAATATGATATTGTGAGAATCTAGATTATTGCATTTGCATAATTAAGAGAGCATTTACATCATTGATCATGACATTCAGTACACATAAAATTTTGACTCTGGTGAAAGTTTGAAGCTCATATGAAAAAGAAATTTTGAATATTTTGATGAAGTCTGGATTTTCAAATAAGAATCTTTTAATTTCAAATGAGAATCTATGAGGTGTGAAACCCAAAATTTATCGAATGTGAATCTTTAAACTCAAATGAGAATATTTGAATTTCAAATGAGAATCTTTGAAGTGTGAAACCTAAAATTTATTGAATGTGAATTTTCAAACTAAAATGATAATATTTGAATTTCAAATGTGAATCTTTAAAATGTGAAACCCAAAATTTGTCGAATGTGAATCTTCGAACTCAAATGAGAATCTTTAAATTTCAAGTGAGAATCTTTGAGGTGTGAAACCCAAAATTTGTTGAATGTAAATCTTTGAACTCAAATAAGAATCTTTGAATTTTAAATGAGAATATTTGAGGTGTGAAATCCAAAATTTGTTGAATATGAATCTTCAAACTCAAATGAGAATCTTTGTGTTTCAAATAAAGTTCTTTGAGGTGTGAAACCCTAATGTTCATCGGATGTGAATCTTCAAACTAGAATGAAAAGTTTTGAACTTTTGCATGTGAATCTTCAAAGTTCGAACAAAAAAGCTTAAACTTTTTAGATGTGAATCCTAAATTTGTCAAATGTGAACCTTTGAACTTGAATGAGAAGTTTTGAACTTTTAGATGTGAATCTCCAAAATTCAAATAAGAATCTTTAAATGTTGGATGCAAGTCTTGCAATTTACAAATGTGAATCTTGAGATCTTGCAAATTTGAATTCTTATGAAATTAAAGTTTTAAGAATCAAATTTCAGTGAATTCTTGCGAAGCTGAAAGGTTCTTGTAAATCTAAATCTTTGATTTTTGAACTCAAATTGTGAATCTTTGAGTTCTCATTACAAATTTCATCAGATTTGATCTATGACTCTTGTAAACATGATTATCGAGGAGCAATTTATTTTTCCAAAGTTGTTGTGCCTTTCTTTAAATGAGCAATTTATTTTTTCAAAGTTATAATGCCTCTGTTTAGAGGAGCAATTTATTTTCTAAAAGTTGTGGTACATCTATTTTAAGGAATAATTTATTTTTTCAAAGTTACGGTGCCTCTATTTAGAAGAGTAATTTATTTTCAAAAGTCGTGGTGCTTCTATTTAAAGGAGTATTTTATTTTTCAAAGTTATTGTGCCTCTGTTTAGAGGAGCTTTTTACCTTGTAAAGTTGTTGAGCCTCTGTTTAGAAGAGTTTTGTTTACTTTTTCTAAAAAAAAAATAAAAACAAAAAAAAATGTGTCAAGTTGATTGAGTTGTCTACATTTTTGCACAATTCTTGTTTCATAAAAAGTGCACAAAAATGGGTAGCTATAGACACCACAATCTATCCGGGGTCTACATTTGATTTTTGTTAAAAAATATAAAAATTAATTAAAAAATAAAAGGCTAAAAAAATGAGAAAAATGGTTAAATTTGGGAAAGACTGAGTTGAGGAGTTTAAACTGAATTAGGGTTTAGAGTTAGGAGTCAGAAAGGATGGAAATCTCATCTGGTTTAGGGCTTTTGGATTGAAGCCCTATAAATAAGGCTAGAGAACACACAGGAAAGACACGAAATACATAGAAATTAGAAACACAGAGAAAAGTAGAAAGCAAAAAAATTTGAGAGTTTTTTGGGTTAAAAGAATTTTTTCTGGAAATTCTAAATTTTG